ATTATATTAATAATAAGTAAATAAATAAGTAATAAAAGAGGGGGGTGTGACTCAGTGGTAGAGCACCCCTGTATCCAATCCCAGCACCCAAACAAAACAAAACAAAAACAACAAACAAATAATAATAATAATAATAATAATAATAGAAACCCCACTGTGAGCTAAAGGAAGCATCTTTGGGCTCAATTATGTATATCTTGTAGAGCCCAAGGAGAAGAGGAAGAATCAGCAATATCGGCTGATGAGCATGAGTCACCTGTGACAAAAAAGGTCAAGTAAGTTGAGGACTGAGAAGTGGTCACTGCTGGGTTAGCAATGTGCCGGGCACTGGGGAGCTTAGCAAGAGCAGGCTGTGGTGTCAAGCAGGAAGCAGGCCAGCACCTGAGAGTGCAGGGCAGGGGGAGGCATGGAATAGTCCTCTGGGGCACGGGGACAACTAGACCAGGAACAGGGGTTCCAAGGGCATGTGATCGTGAACTGAAAGACCAGTCAGCAAGGAAATCGTCAGGATTCCATTCTAACACATTACCTGATATATATATATATATATATATATATTAAAGGCATCCTCCCCTAGTTAGGCCGGGATGTGACACAATGGCACAGTGTTTGCTTGCCATACAAGAAGCCTTGGTTCAATCTCCAGCGCTGCAAAAAGAAAGAAGAGGGCTGGGGTGGTGGCTCGGTGGTGGAGCACTGGCCTAGCAGGTGTGAGGCACTGGGTTGGATCCTCAGTGCTGCATCTAAATAAATAAAGGCCCATCAACAACTGAAAAAATATATATATATATTAAAAAAAGAGAAAGAAGGAAGGAAGAGGGAAAGCATTATTATAGCATAATTTATAGCAACAAAGCCTGAGAATTAATCTGAATGCCCAGAGGGGATCAGCCACTAAAAAGTAGGTTGGGAGTTGGGAATGAGTACAGTCCTGTGGTCCAGCGACTCGGGAGGCCCAGGATTAGGATCACAAGTTCAAGGTCAGCCTGGGCAACTTTACAAGACCCTGTCTCAAAATTATTAAAAAGGGTTAAAGGTTTGGGAATGTGGCTCTGTGATAGTTGTTGCCTAACA